GTGTGTGTGTGTGTGTGTGTGTGTGTGTGTGTGTGTTTGTTTGTCTGTTTCTGTGTGTGTGTATGTGTGTGTCTCTGTGAGTGTTTGTGTGTCTGTGTATGTTTGTGTGTCTGTGTTTGTGTCTGTGTGTGTTTGTTTGTGTGTGTGTGTGTGTGTTTGTTTGTGTGTGTGTCTCTGTGTGTGTTTGTGTGTGTGTGTGTCTCTGTGAGTGTTTGTGCGTGCGTCTCCGCCGCGTGCGGTACCGCGTTTTCCTCCGCGTGCGCCCCTCTGGATGTGTCTCGCGCACGCGCACACGCGTCTGTTCCTCTGATTGATCCGCGGCGGATCAAAGAATCAAAGATTCACGAGACACCGAAACGAGCAACAAGAGAGCCGCGCGCGCGAAGCAGGAGTCAGGATCTTTTGTTTCCATTGTTCACACCAACACACACAAACACTCACAGAGACACACAAACACTCACAGAGACACACACTCAGACACACACACAGACACACACAGATACACACAAACACACACAGAGACACACACAAATCTGAGCTATGTCTGTATTTATAAAGATTTCTCTGATTGGAGCCAGAACTGAAGCTTCAGATCTGGTTTATTCTCCGATAACAAACCTCCTAAAGCCGGTAAATGTGATGGTTTCCTCTTCAGGAACTCTGTTTATGTCCACAAAACCAAAGCTCACTGAGAGTTTTCTCAAGTTTGGTCCCCAAAAAGTAAAAAATAGAGCTGAACCAAACAAAAAAGTAAAAAATAACAGAAAAAATATATTGAACAAAACAAAAAGACACAAAATAATATAAAAATATCTGAACAAAACAAAAAAGTAATAAAATACTACGAAAAATACACTGAACAAAACCGAACTAACCGTTAGCAAACCCCCTGAAGGCGGTAAATGTGTTGGTTTCCTCTTCAGAAAGTCTGTTTATGTCCACAAAAACCCACAAAACTAAAGTTCACCGAGAGTTTTCTGAAGTTTGGTCGCAAAAATGTTTGTTTTGTTTGGACAAAGTGTGAGAAGTGTTGGTCCAGAGACGCTGCTGTGAGTCTGAGCTGGTTTGTGAGTCTGAGCTGGTTTGTGAGTCTGAGCTGGTTTGTGTTTGTGAGTCTGAGCTGGTTTGTGTTTGTGGGTCTGAGCTGGTTTGTGTTTGTGTGTCTGAGCTGGTTTGTGAGTCTGAGCTGGTTTGTGAGTCTGAGCTGGATTGTGTTTGTGTGTCTGAGCTGGTTTGTGGGTCTGAGCTGGTTTGTGAGTCTGAGCTGGTTTGTG